CAAGTCTCTAAGGATAAGAAAAAAAACCGTGGAAAACCAACATCGCTCTGCTCAGAATCTTAAATTAATAAAATCTTTCTATGAAAAACTGAACAGTTTTTAATTCAATATAATATTTAATAAATAATAAAAATAATATTTACATACAATTAGTAAGTATATATTATAGTCTTATAGGCAACAGTTATCTATCAGTGGCGTATCAAGGGAGCGGCTAAGGTCTAAATGTATTACCTTTCATTGTTTGAGATGCACTTTTTTTGGGACGCAAGTATATAGTTAGGTAACTTACCTTATACTTTATACTTTGCAACCATTTCAACAACGATATTGCGATCAGAGTTTATGCCGTATGGTATCGTGTGGAAATAATTATCACAATGGGTATTGGCTAATTTAATTTTAAGTTTCTGTTGTTATTAATTATTAATTACGATTAATTTACCAAACGATATTATTTTGACACATATTATTATTATTAATAGTAATAAGAATAGAAACATTTTAGTTACATTAAGCTCGACAATTTTACATCTCATTATTTTGATCTGACGACCAACCATAGGAGACCAATTTATCTGACGACATATTTACTCAATTATTAATTCTATGAAATTGCAGGCGAACAATTTCATTCCATCAATTGACTGTATCCCTAAAGTAACTCAAATAGCTCTGTGTGCCTATGTATATTGGTTCGTTTGAAAGTTGTGCTGATAAATTTTTATACAATCTCCGAAAATAAAAGCTTTTACATAGGCGCAAAACACTCTTTCCCGCTACCACAGCAGCCACTACCACGCTGCTTTCATTCGCCATCGTAATTTTCCTATCTCTGGTCGATTCCCAACTTCTTTAGTTCTTTGTGCCATTAATTCTCATTTCGGAGAACCAACAACGCCTGCACACGTCCCCGTCCGCCACGACTTATCCACCTGATCGCAAAATTACGTTCAGTATAGAAGGAGCACTGTGGAGTGTGGGTGTATATATACATGTTTATTATATAATATACATCAGTTGTAATGGTATTATAGCCTATATAGGTACGGTATATTCCGACCTGCACACTATTCGCTCCAAGTCGTCTCAACCTACACACACCCACCCTCAGCATGCCGGGCCGAAACACGCCACACGCATCTCCCCATCCCCCCGACACCCCTTCCTACCATCACAACAGTACCTACCTCCCCTACCCTCTCAATAGCCGTCGCACTTTTCCCGTCCCTAATGGTGGTGCCCCGGTAGATCTCATAAATATTTCCATTAAACTGAGTGAAATTGGTTTTTTCGCAATAACGCCAGCGCCCGTATATATATTTTATATATTTATTTATTATACGCGAACGAAATGCAAGACGAGATGCGATGGTCGTATATATAACGACGCAGGGCATGCATTCAAAATGAGATGCAGACGGAGGGAAAGATAAAAAATCGAAAGCATTGTACGCGGTGGTTATATTATTATCGCCGACCGTTTTAAATCTACCCCCGTACACTATCCTAACTGTGGTTTGGCGAGAAGGGCTGGATAGGCGGTTTTTTGGTGTTTAACTCAGGCCTATACATTTATATATACATATATATTTTTTTTGGCTATATTTATTATTTAATATATTATTTATACACTTTAAGCGTGATCGTGATGTATTAGATCAGCGGTGGCGTTGAGATAGAGTGAGGAATGAATTTCGTAAACGTTCTTGGTATATATTTTCTTTTTGTAATTTTTTCAGAATATAATAATATTTTTATTTGGTATAATATTTTAGTATATATGTTACAGGGAATGTGGAATACTGGGCAATGTGGCCCTGTCCGGGTAATGTAAGCTACAAATTTTTTTTAACCAACTAATATTATTTTTTATTATTATTACCTATTTATAGTATTGATTTTTTTTAAAACAATCATTATTAATTTTATTTATGTATCATAATATAATACTATGAATTTTTTGAAACACTGTGTATAAATCTATTTTTGTTACTTATCGTACTGCCTATTTAAAAACCAAATGTAGAAAAGCATATAGGCTATGTAATTCCAAGTGCTATGCTTCTAAATCTTGTTCAAATAAATAGGTAATAATAAAATTATAATTTATTTTAAAAATAAAATGATAATACTTGTTAATTTTTTTTTGTTATTCCATCAAAATATTTGTAATATTATGGTGCACGAATAAAGTTAATAATGATTGTCTTAAAAAAAAATCAATACTATAAATAGTTAATGATTATAATATATAATAATAATAAAAAATAATATTAGTGAGTTAAAAAAAAAATTTGCGGTTTACATTGCTCGTAACATATATAATAATAGGCATATGTATATCATAAGCACTTTGAAACCCTTGCCACGCTTTTCAAAAGCTAATATAATATTTCGAATGCACCTAGATTTATGTATAGAGGTACCTAAATAATATTAGTATTTTCCTGCCTTAGTTCCAAGGTCCTGCAGTGAATAGAACATTGTCGTAAATATAATAATAATCGATAACCAGCTGAGAAGTTATGTATATTATTCTATTTTATATAGTAAGGACTTGAGAGCCAGTATTATTTTTATTTAAAAATTAGCAAAGTAATCGAAATTATTTACATACCTACAGTTTATAATTAAATAACAAGTTTATGACTTAAATTCCTTTCTTAGTAATAAAAAAATAACAACATTTTACTAAAAATATTTTGTTTTTATAAAATAAATATGTAGAAATAATATGTGTACCTATATATTAATGGCAGCATTTTTGTTATCATTTTATGAGAAATATCCCATGTTCATTTTCACAAATATTTTCTTAAATTATTTTTTTTTCTGTCTTAATGAATGGTACATTATAGGTTAGTTGTCACGTGGGTGGGTAACTGTAACGGATGTGTTAAATTTGTATTTAATTATGTAACATCATTGTATTTGTACACCAGATACCTAAGAAAAACGATTATCAGCGAAGACGTTTTGTCAGCGAGGCAACCTATATTCTTATAATTTATGATATTTTTATATTATTAAAGAAATTTATTTTACTATTGGACGTTATTAGTAATACAGTAAGTCGAATCAATTCTTGAAAAAATTGCATATGAAAAGTGTCTATAAATATAGTAACTTTTAAAGTTTCAAGTACCAATGAATTTTATTTTTAAATTACAACGAAATAGCTACGATTTTTATTGTTTGTTTGAATATCTAATTTCGTACAAATTTTAACTTAAAATATCTATAAAAAACAGTGTTTTTCCTAATTTAGATCTAAATAAACAAAATCAATTTTGATAAAAACCCGATTTTTCTTAATTTTTTTTTGGTTTTACTTTACTCTTTTGAAAACTACTGAAAAATGTTTACTTTTGATTATAACTCCCTCTTAAAGTACTTAATTAAATTCACTTTCCTACCAGAATAGATGCTAAAGTAGAAAATCAAAACATCTTTACTGCCCCAAAAGGTGATGACGGTGAGGAAAAACAAATAAATCATTTAAAACTGTAAAGTAAATACATTTATAGCTCCGCCCAGAATCTAAAAACTGTTAATATAAATATTTTACACCCATAATGCACAAAAAAGAAGAGCTAGTTATCGGTGTGGTCAAAGATTTAAAAATAAATGTCCAACAGGTTGATAAAAATATGAAAATGAGCCTTTCCCAAATGTTTGTCGCTAAACGGTGGATTCCCCGACGTAAAAAAACACTTTTAAAACTTTAAATGAACTGATGAAAAAAATAATAAAACTCGTCTGGTTGCTCGGTTCGTTAATTATTATTTTACCCAGAAATAAATTGAGGTTATTCACTCCCCACTCTGCATCCCCGTGACAAGTATCGTTGGTCCCTTATTCTCAATTACTTTTTTTTTATTACTTTATTTCTTTTTTTCTTTCTCTTCGTAAGTTTATTAATGAAACCTACCCTAATGATGAACGGATTAAGCACTGTCTCGTATTTTTGTTAAGCAAGTTTTCACCCTCTGTATAAGCGTTTCCACCATGGTTCTATAGTGCCAACGATTTTCTTCGTAAAAGATAATTATAATCACCACTGTTTATATTATTTGCTTTTATTTACAATTGTTTAACAACGAACCTTATGTTATTATTTTTAAAATATTTTACTGAAAATAATATTATTACGAGATAAATAAATAAAGACAAATTAACAACAACAATTATATAATATTAAACATAATTTCAAAAACCATATAAAATACTATTTTTCATCAAAAACTGATTTTAATAGTACAGTCAAAATAATGTGCGTTAATAGTTTATTAGTGTATCAACGTCTTTTATGATTTGATTATAATAGTGATGCGATTATGTTAAAAGTAGTTACAAGTAAATTTAAAGTTGAAACACTTGAAACAGCAATACTTTAAAACGACAAACAATATTTATATACGAACATACGTAGCGCTACTGCTACTCTTGTGTGATAAAAGTCTTTTTAAAAAATAAAAAAATAATAATAATAATTAACGATAATATTTTATTCGTAATTTAATACATATATATAATATATATATTATATCATTATCATACTTGAAAGTTGTAAATTATAATACTACGAAACAGTAGTACTTTTGTTTATATATACATTATACAACTGCAGCGGGGTTGAAGCTAGGACAGCTGGGGACTATACATAATAATATATATATTATTATTAATACGTATGATATGTATAGGTAACAATATCTAAGTGTTATTGTAAGACGGGTATGGGGCTCTCAACCACAGAATTCTAAAATTGTTTAATCCAGTTAAAAGCACTACGCCACCGACGCGGTATGTCGGGTTTTGCGGAAAAAATTTCTACGAAACAGTGGCTGCAGCAATAGCAACAGCAACAAACGCTTTTAGCTTATTGAACTGAAACTTGAGTTATTACGTTTTTTTTTTTGCGCCCCCTCGTCATGTTTTTTTTTTATATATATACACATTCATAAATTTGAGGAGAGGGAAGAAAGAAAACTTACATGTATAGTTATTGGCCCGAAAATGGCTTCGGTTAACGTTTCCAAGGAGACCACGACGTGCAAGCGCCTCCGTCGTTCCGCCTGCGACTGACGCTCACCCGCCCGCCCAACGCACTACCACTCATGTCAATTTCGTGCCGTTTGCGCTTCATTTCTTTCCACCACTACACGGCTGTTCGGGGCTCCAAGAATATTTCCATAATACCAATGGCTATAAAAAGAGAAGAAAAATATTACCCGCTGGAAAGAACATTCGTTTCCATCAACGTGACACTGCAGCGCGTTGCATATTATTATATATTATGATATTCTCTACGAAAAATATCCCATCAGATATGAATTAAAATGAATGTAAAAGTTAATTTAAATTAAATAAATAATGTTTTCTCAGACGTTGGAAGTTAATAAGTCTTCTGACGCTGAAAAAATTGTTAAACGTACACATATACAAATTTTAATACTATATTATTTTACTTCCGATTCGTTCAGTCTCGTGTTCAACGACCCTATACGAGTTGAATAGAATAATGCAATGAAAATTAACATATTTTACGAGCGATTATCCATTTAAGTGATTACACTCAATATTTCAAAAAGTTTTAATTTTTTTGAAAATCTGTTTTTTACATAATCGATGTCACCAATTATCATCATTATGATTTTTAACTTTTAAGGTTTTATTATTTTTGATACTGAAAGTAAAAGTACTAAAATGTCATTGTATGTATAAAATATAATGATATACGTAAAAGTTTCGAACAGACGAATTTTGTCAACATTTTAACTTCAAATGGTTATAAAAAAAATCGTGCATATTATATTGCATCTTTGTTCTTTTCAAATTGCTATTATACCAACTTATGAGGAACCTAGAATTAATTTTACCGGTTTTTCGACAAAAAAAACAATAATAATACCTAATAATGACAAAAATATGTTACTGTAGTAAGCGTAGTACCTAGTATGTTCATATGTAAATTAATAGCTCAAACATTTAAAAAATATTTTTTACAATGTAGGTACAATGCTTTTTGCATTTTTAGTTTCAAGTATCTATAAGGTTGTTTATTTTTAAATTGTATGTATCAAAAACTTAAGAAAAGTATTCTGATTTGGATTATAAAAAAATCAAAAATGTAACAAATATAAATAAAAATAGCGATACATATTCGTTTTATTTTAAATTTGGTTTTAAAACGACATTATATAGTTATGTAATAATAATATTTATAAAAAGTTAAAAGTTTTCGAATAAATTAACGTAGATACTTAATTAAATCACTATGTAGGCTGTTTACAACGAATGGTGTATTTATTAGCGTAAGAAGTCGTATCAGGGACCTACGTTTTAATAATTGAACGAGTGATTACATATATTTAATTTGTTGAGAGGTATCGGAAAGTTGAGCGATTTATAATACGAAGCAGCGTGCAGCAGTCACTACTCACTATACTGCAAATTGTTGGTTAATTTTTGAAGTACATTAAAACAATTTTTCGTATTATTAATATTTATTATAAATCATAATTACTCTGACCGACGTATAAAATGCAAACAATGTATAAATGACATTTTAAAGCAAAGCACTCGAATGTCTTATTAATGTATATTCAATTAGCTGTAATGATAAACATATTTTATCAATCTTCCCTGTACATTTGATTACCTTTTTTTATTTATTTATTCAAAAAATAAAGATATGATATGTCTGAAATAGTAATATATAGTGTGTTCTACACGGACATTTTTGTATTACAGGCCAATCAAAATGAGTCCAAAGAGGAATCTCTGCATTGAATCAATTTTGCGTCCGCGGAAAAAACCAAAAGACATGATTTTTTGCAGCGCAGAACATACAACATTTTTAGCTCGATATCTCACTATCATTTCAACGCTTAAACATCCACGGTCGTTACATACACTCTACCCACCCACTTTACGGCTCACATGATATTATTCCACCGCGTGACGTTCACTCGCTTTTATGATTACTTCGGTTTCAAGGCGGAGTTTTCACCTCAAACTGTAATGACTTCCCTGTGCAGTACTGTTAACTGACGGGTAGAGTGTGTATAACGACCGTGGGCGATTATGCGGTGAAATGATGATGAAATATCGAGCGGAAAACTATGTATGTTCTGCACAGGGAAACAGTTGTAGTTTGAGCGGAAAACTCTGCCTTGGAACTGCCCCCGAAATCATGAAAAGTGAATGCGCGTTTACGCGGTAGAATAATACCGCATGAGGCGAAAACTGACGGTGGAATGGACAGACATCGTCCTAAAAACAATGTGTCTCACACTGAAAAAATTGGAGGACGCAAAATTGATGCAAGCGAGAGATTCTCACTTGAACTCATTTTGATTCCTCTATAATACAACAATTTCCGTGTAGAACACATTATAATATATTTACTACTGTCTGACATTATGGGTTTTCATATTTAATAGCGTTTTCAATTAGTTTAAAGTGTTTACACTAATTTGTATAACACACTGGTACCATATTCCACGGGTGTTTCTGGAAAACTGTACTAAAGTAAATATTACTAATACAAAGTGAAACAGGTTTGCAATTTTTATTGGGTTACCACATCGTTAAAATTTCATTTTTACTCTCATTTAAATACAATTTACATGGCACCATCATATTATATACAATTTTCGTTATCTAATGTACTGGTGATACTAATAATTATCATGCACTTGTGCAGTCAGATTAAAAACGCTATAAATTATACATGACACCAAATTTGTATGATAGTACTATGTAAAGTATTATTTGAAATAATATAGATAATTTTGTTAATATTGAAGATATTTTGACTAAAATAATACAATTTCAAACATTTAAAGTAGAATAATAATTAATATTATCACATCAAACACAAAGTATAAGATGATGTCTATACTTTTTTAATTTAACGAGATTTAAATATAATATATTTAAAATAAAATAGACTCGTAACACACGATATTTTTCAGATAGTCAATAAATAATGTTGAATCTTACATCTGAAATATACAGAATCCAATATGTGTGTATTGAGTTAATATATTTATGTAGGAATAATAATATGTATAGTACTATTATAATTTATAGTGTATAGTGAAAATGCAGAAACAGTATATCCATATTATTTGGTCATAAGGTCACAATAGGTAGCTAGACATTCGGTTTTACTTGTAATTTTTTCTATACCTATACAATTTTATTAATTTATTGTATCATCATTGTATAGTATAATATACGAATACGATTTAATATCGATTTAGTTTATATATATATATATATAATATATATATTTTATTGATCTAAAGCCCGGCAACTATGGCCATTATCTAGTTCATAAATTATTATTTATTAATATATTAAAATTATACGGTGTTTGTTGTTAGTTTTAAAAAGTATAGTGACTATAAATTATAATAACATGAGAATATAATTTAGTTGACCTTATTTTTTTTTTACATTCAAATCAAACAACTACATCGTAATACGTGTTTACGTATACAGATACCTACATAGTGGGTAATATTATTAGCTGGGTATATATTTAATTGAACATAAATAATAGGTAGGTATCTACCTATAAAACATATTGCTAATTTATATACTCACGAATTTACAATATAGACGGTAAATTAAAAGGACAAATTGATGTTTTTATTACTTATTTTGTACACATACCGAACGCTTTTTTTCAAAGAAAATTATACTTAATTTGTGGTAGGGTATTTTTTTGTTTTATACAACCAGACCCCCACGCTATATTTAAAATACCTACACAATAAACGTGTGTAGTGTAATTTGAGTTTGACTTTTTATAAAAGAACGACTGCAGTAAAAAACGCATAGTGCAATCTCCGTAGCCAATTATCTACGTATTAACCGGCAACTGCATAGTATAAAATACAAACCAATTTTCTCCAGAGGTTAACAAAATGGTTAATTTTAGCCCAAAATTCATTTCGGCTAATTGGGGATAATATTCGTGTTATTAATAATAACTCCAGCTGGTTATTTTTGTTTTTTTTCCAAACTCAACATTTGCATGCTCATTAACAATCATCTACACTGCATCATATCATTAAATTAAATAGGCATTAATTTTTAAACAGGATTATTATAAATGTATAAACTTTAATAATTATATTTTTCATACCTAATTCATTATATAATACATTCTAGGGTTTTCTACAATGAGGAGGGTGCGATGGGGTTCTGTAAATACGTTTAGTTTTAATTTCCAGGACAAATAATAATATAATAGTGTCTATATTGTATACAGTAGGTATACATTTTTGTATAGTTTATATTAAATTTATATTTTCAACGTTTTAATACTACTGAGTAGGATTTAAATTAAAATAATTTACCATAAGTTTTGTTTAATAGTAATACAATTTTATATAAATATGCATATTTTAATTATTCGTATAAATGAATAATGAATATTAATCACTATTTAATTAATATTTTACGTTCAAATAGTAGGTAGGTATGTTCTGACAGATGGTTAATATTTTTACTAAATCGAGTAAAATGTGTGTTGATAAAAAATCAACATCGTAATTCGTAATAAATTAAGTAACTTTTAACCTAACCTATTATTATGTTGGTAAAATAAATCTCAACTTTTCAAAAACAGTTTGGATTTAATTATTTCTCTATAATATAAAGAACCGGGTTTTAAGTACATGCAGATAATTAAAATCTAGTCACAGACACATATTTTTAACTAAAAGGTATGTCTATATATTGTATTAACTTTAATCCTTACAGTATATTTGTGTATAAAGTACACTGCCCATGTATCTACCTTAATATATTTTATTTTAAATAATAATGGGACTGTCTTGTATATTTAATATGGAAATTGGACATTTTTTCCGTAATTAACTATATAATTATTTATTATACATTTATACGTAATTTATTATGTAGAAACGTATAACATATAATTATACATAGTTTTTAAAGTATAAATTATTACAAAAGCAATATGCTGTTATTTAACATGGTTTAAAATAATAATAATTTAAGTACCATTTCTAAGATTCTTTTAAAAAAGTTAACTATAGCATAAACTAATTATGTATAAAATGTAAATTTTTACTTGAAAAAAATAACAAGGCCTTTTTTCTGTTTATAATAATTGTAATTATGTATTAGTGTATTACTCAGAATAATTTAAAATATTTGTGTGA